GTTGATCTCCGGAAACGGTTCCGCGCGCTCTCGCCTTGACGCCGGCCATTCTTTTTGTGAGCACGAGGCTCCCGCGCGAGCGTTGGCTTGGGTCTAAATGTGGGCCCTTGGAGGCCCAGCTACGAGAACAACGGTTCCCGTTCGATATTTCCTCACAAGTTACCCCCGACATACCCTGGCCAGAAATGCCCCCGAGTTCAGGAACGGCGCTTTGGCTCGCGATCTCCTCGCAATTCGGTCAAGTTGGCGGAGGCCCAGCCACGACGGCAAGGGTTCCTGCTCGATACGTCCTCACGATTTACTCCGAACTCCCCTGGCCAGGAAGGCCCCGAACTCAGGAACGGCGCTCTCCCTCGAGACTTTTTCCCGGAAAGGGCATGAGCCCAGGGTTCTCTTTTAGTGGGTAAACCTGTCCCCCGGTGCCAACTTGAAGGAGGCCGGCGAATTTTTTCCCTGATAAATAACGAGGTCGAAGGAGGCCGGCGAATTAAAATTTGAGGATGTCTCGAGCGAAACGCTTGTTTTTCAGAATTTCTTGAGGATGTCTCGAGCGAAACGCTGGTTTTGCAGAGTTGAGGATGTCTCGAGCGAAACGCTTGCTCCGCAGAGTTTGCCGAGGATGTCTCGAGCGAAACGCTTGTTTTGCAGAGCCGACCGCGACGCGGAAAAGCGCCCCGCGCGAAGGAATTTCGATGATGTCTCGACTAATTCGTTTGTTTTTGTACGATTTCCTGGAATTTTGGCAGGATGTCTCGAGCGAAATGCACGACCCCACCCTAGCACGACCATACCCCAGCACGACCACACCCCAGCACGACCAGACCCCAGCACGACCCCACCCCAGCACGACCCCACCCCAGCACGACCATACCCCAGCACGACCACACCCCAGCACGACCCGACCCCAGCACGACCCTACCCCAGCAAGACCACACCCCAGCACGACCACACCCCAGCACGACCTCACCACAGCACGACCACACCCCAGCACGACCACGCCCCAGCACGACCACGCCCCAGCACGACCACGCCCCAGCACGACCACCCCCCAGCACGACCACACCCCAGCACGACCACCCCCCAGCACGACCACCCCCCAGCACGACCACACCCCAGCACGACCCGATCGATAAATCACAGGGTGCGGACCACCCCAGCACGACCACACCCCAGCACGACCCCACCCCAGCACGACCCCACCCCAGCACGACCACGCCCCAGCACGACCACACCCCAGCACGACCACACCCCAGCACGACCACACCCCAGCACGACCCCACCCCAGCACTACCCCACCCTAGCACGACCACACCCCAGCACGACCACACCCCAGCACGACCACACCCCAGCACGACCCCACCCCAGCACGACCCCACCACAGCACGACCACCCCCCAGCACGACCACACCCCAGCACGACCACACCCCAGCACGACCCCACCCCAGCAAGACCACACCCCAGCACGACCACACCCCAGCACGACCTCACCACAGCACGACCCCACCCCAGCACGACCACGCCCCAGCACGACCACGCCCCAGACCACGCCCCAGCACGACCACCCCCCAGCACGACCACCCCCCTAGCACGACCACCCCCCAGCACGACCACCCCCCAGCACGACCACACCCCAGCACGACCACACCCCAACACGACCATACTCCAGCACGACCACACCCCAGCACGACCACACCCAGTCGCACCCCCGTGGAATGTTTCGTGGGGTGTCTGGTTGAGTGGTTGCCTGTTCGTGGGGTGTCTCGTGGAATGTTTCACGGGGTGTCTCGTGGAATGTTTCGTGAGGTGTCTCGTGGGTTGTTTCGTGAGGTGTCTCCTGGGATGTTTCGCGGGGTGTCTCGTGGGATGTTTCGTGAGGTGTCGCCCAGTTGGATATCGTGAAAACGTGACCATGCTGCACATGTCTATATCCCTTTCCGGGTTCGTGGGTCCATCATGTTTTAATTCAGGCAAGTTGGTGGAGGCCCAGACGGCGACAAGGGTTCCATTCGATATTTTCCATTGGTGTTCCGAGAGTTCCTGGCCCGAACTCAGGAACGGCGCTCTGTCTGGAGACTTCCTCGCATTTCAGTCAGTGAGTGGCCTGGCCGACAAGGAAGAGATCCCCCCCGAAAGGGGGTGCAATCGAAGACGAAGTTGGCGGGTATCGAGGGTTGAGGTCTACAGAATGCAAGACACGCTCACCTCTTCGCTTCTCACCTCTTCGCTTCTCGCTTCTCGCTAGACCATGAGCTGCTCACCTCTTCGCTTCTCAAGGCAGGGATGCACCCTGAGCATGTGTGCTGCCTCGTCCGCGAGCTCAGGGGTTTTTCCCGGAAAGGGCATGAGCCCAGGGTTCTCTTTTAGTGGGTAAACCCTGTCCCCCGGTGCCAACTTGAAGGAGGCCGGCGAATTTTTTCCCTGATAAATAACGAGGTCGAAGGAGGCCGGCGAATTAAAATTTGAGGATGTCTCGAGCGAAACGCTTGTTTTTGAAATCCCGATCGATAAATCACAGGGTGCGGGCCACTTTTTCGTGTGTTGAGGATGTCTCGAGCGAAACGCTTGCTCCGCAGAGTTTGCCGAGGATGTCTCGAGCGAAACGCTTGTTTTGCAGAGCCGACCGCGACGCGGAAAAGCGCCCCGCGCGAAGGAATTTCGATGATGTCTCGACTAATTCGTTTGTTTTTGTACGATTTCCTGGAATTTTGGCAGGATGTCTCGAGCGAAATGCACGACCCCACCCTAGCACGACCATACCCCAGCACGACCACACCCCAGCACGACCAGACCCCAGCACGACCCCACCCCAGCACGACCCCACCCCAGCACGACCATACCCCAGCACGACCACACCCCAGCACGACCCGACCCCAGCACGACCCTACCCCAGCAAGACCACACCCCAGCACGACCACACCCCAGCACGACCTCACCACAGCACGACCACACCCCAGCACGACCACGCCCCAGCACGACCACGCCCCAGCACGACCACGCCCCAGCACGACCACCCCCCAGCACGACCACCCCCCCAGCACGACCACCCCCCAGCACGACCACGCCCCAGCACGACCACACCCCCAGACCACCCCCCAGACCACCCCCCTAGCACGACCACACCCCAGCACGACCACACCCCAGCACGACCACACCCCAGCACGACCCCACCCCAGCACGACCCCACCCTACCCCAGCAAGACCACACCCCAGCACGACCACACCCCAGCACGACCTCACCACAGCACGACCACACCCCAGCACGACCACGCCCCAGCACGACCACGCCCCAGCACGACCACGCCCCAGCACAGCACGACCACCCCCCCAGCACGACCACCCCCCAGCACGACCACCCCCCAGCACGACCACACCCCAGCACGACCACTCCCCAGCACGACCACACCGCCTTGGTTGAGTGGTTGCCTGTCGTCGTGGAATGTTTCGTGGGGTGTCTCGTGGAATGTTTCGCGGGGTGTCTCCTGGAATGTTTCGTGAGGTGTCTCGCGGAATGTTTCGTGAGGTGTCTCGTGGGATGTTTCGTGAGGTGTCTCGTGGGATGTTTCGTGAGGTGTTGCCCCGTTGGGTATCGTGAAAACGTGCCCATGCTCCACATGTCTATATCCCTTTCCGGGTTCGTGGGTCCATCATGTTGGGCTAGACTGGAAGTACCGACGGCTGGGCATACTAAGTGGTTTCCTTTTACCACGGGCGGGAAGTAGGGTGGGGTCGAAACGTCCGACGAATTCAACGTGTTCCTTGAGTCCGTCTTGACCTCGGTTGTCTTGAGCTGGACCCGCCGGGAGTTTGGGTTCGATGTCGGCGATGGCGCTCGCGTGACTCATTTGGTCTGGGCCGACAACGTGTTTATCATCGCCCACACCAAGCAGCAGTTTGAGCTCATGTGCCAGGAAATTACAGATGCCATTTATTCGACCAAAGTGAGATGGAAACCTTCGTCTCTTCAATTCTTGTGTTTTGGAGTGGACCCGCTGGACTCCTCTTCGGTGTGGTTGCAGTTGCCTGATGCCACCTCTTTGGAAGTACGGCACGTCTTTAATATGGAGACTTTGGGGACGTTGTTAATTTCTACAGGGTCCTCCCTGGTTAGCTTTGAGTACCGCGCGCACAAAGCGGAGGGTTGCTTCTGTGCCAATTCGTTCGCGTTCTTGACCGCCGGAGGGGTTGTTCAAAAACTCAAAGCATGGAGGAGTGGCCCCGGGACTTCTGCAGCATTTGGAGCCGGCACTTGGCATATTTTTTCTAACTTGCTGTGGGCTGTAAAGGGATGGGAATTCAAATGGCTGCGGAAGACGCTGCGGTTGAAACGTCGGCGAGGTGAAAGGCAGCTCGACTACAACAGCCGGGCGAGTGCCCTAATTCAGGCATGGGCTCAGAAGGCAAACGTGTCATTTCTACATCACCGCGTATTCCAAGAGGTCTTCAAAGAGGCGTGGAGGGAATTATGCACCCCGTTCCCAGGGGACAGCAACCACATTGCCAACGCGCGACGCTTTCGAGACCGACTGTGGTGGAGCGCGGCCAAAGACATTCCATTTTCGTGGCGTTCTGGAGCTGGTTTCGCTCATGCAGCGCGCGGGGGAAGATATCCTGAATGGGAAGATGTGTTTGTCATGGTCTTTGGCCTGTCTTGGAAACGTGAAGCGGCGAGCTGCCGGATGGATGAATGGATGCTGAAGTTGCCGTTGTTCGTGCATTCCGCGTGCGAGCAGTGGGGCCTCCCAGTGCTACCTGAGCGGCAACCAACGGAAGGGGGACCTGTCCAAAAGCCGGCGAAACGCCGACGCAGCGTTACGACGGATTTGTAAACTTTGCTTGAATCTCGTGGCCTTGCGTGGGATGATGCGCAACATCATTGGCACAACAGTCAAAACCATTTCATTTGCATCGTGGATTGCCAGCCGCTGTGCAACGCGATTTGCGGGAAGTCGCCGCTCGAGAGCCCTGACCCAGAGAAGACGTGCCAAGGTATCACGGAGAACATGAAAGCCGTATTCTTCCTTGGTTGGGCGCCGCCGCGCCGCTGGGAAGACCCAGTGACTTGGAGGCCCCGCGGGTGCAATGAGATAACGGATTACCTTGTCAACGCCACCATGGACTTAGAGGCGTATTGGACACGCCAGCTCCAGGATATCCCGGCCGACGGTTGCAACATTATCTGCCATTCCGATGGAGGCGCGAGGATCGGTGGGTGCTCTGCTGCGGCATATATCGTGGAGGCGCGCGTGGAGAAGGACGGCGTTTTCACGGCAATTGTTCTCGCCGTGGGCGGGCTCTACATGGATTGCCTTGTGTCGTCTTTCCTTGCGGAGGCTATTGCTTTGGAGGAATGTGCATCATGTGCCAGACGGCTGATTGAGCTTGGTTCACGTACCAAGCGCAGGGAACTTTAGATCCAGCGTTAGATCCAGCTTTGCCGTATTCATCTGCCAGCGCCTGAGGCGCTGGGCTGTGCCGAAAGAATGCAAGACGCGCGTGCCAGTGAGAGCGAACAGTCTTAAAATGATGGTTGTTGTTGTTGCTGTTGTTGCTCTTGCTGAGTAATACTAATACATATTACACTTATTATGAATAGTGTTATTTTTATCAGTATTATTATCATCATCCTCATCAGTATTATCATTCCCAACCCTCCTTGGTTGGGTACTCTTGTTAAATAGAGCACTGCGGTCGCGTCTTCCCTCCTCCCCGCCCCTCTCCTCTCCTCCCTTCTCCCGGTCTGTGAAACTGTCGCCACTTTCGAGGGCTGGGGGGGCCCGGCACAGTGACGTCTTACGGGGACTCAGATTAGACCTCGCCATCGCTGGGGGGCTGCGATCCGTGAAACTGTCGCCACTTTCGAGGGCTGCTGGGGGGGGCAGCGGAGTGACGTCTTACGGGGACTCAGATTAGACCTCGCCATCCCTGGGGGGCTGCGATCTGTGAAACTGTCGCCACTTTCGAGGGCTGCTGGGGGGGCCCAGCACAGTGACGTCTTACGGGGACTCAGATTCGACCTCGCCATCGCTGTGGGGCTGCGATCCGTGAAACAGTCGCCACTTTCGAGGGCTGCTAAGGGGCCCAGCACAGTGACGTCTTACGGGGACTCAGATTAGACCTCGCCATCCGTGGGGGGCTGCGATCTGCCAAACTGTCGCCACTTTCGAGGGCTGCTGGGGGGCCCAGCACAGTGACGTCTTACGGGGACTCAGATTAGACATCGCCATCCCTGGGGGGCTGCGATCTGTGAAGCTATCGCCACTTTCGAGGGCTGCGGGGGGCCCCAGCACAGTCACGTCTTACGGGGGCCCAGGTTCGACCTCGCCATCCCTGGGGGGCTGCGATCTGTGAAACTGTCGCCACTTTCGAGGGCTGCTGGGGGGGGCAGCGGAGTGGCGTCTTACGGGGGTTCAGATTCGACCTCGCCATCCCTGGGGGGCTGCGATCTGTGAAACTGTCGCCACTTTCGAGGGCTGCTGGGGGGCTGCGTTGGGTATTCGTTTTGAATAGAGCACTGCGGTCGCTTCTTCCCTCCTCCTCCTTCCCGTCCCCCTCCTCTCCTCCCTTCTCCCGATCTGTGAAACTGTCGCCACGTTCGAGGGCTGCTGGGGGGCCCGGCACAATGACGTCTTACGGGGACTCAGATTAGACCTCGCCATCGCTGGGGGGCTGCGATCCGTGAAATTGTCGCCACTTTCGAGGGCTGCCGGGGGGGGCAGCGGAGTGACGTCTTACGGGGACTCAGATTAGACCTCGCCATCCCTGGGGAGCTGCGATCTGTGAAACTGTTGCCGCTTTCGAGGGCTGCTGGGGGGCCCAGCACAGTGACGTCTTACGGGGGCTCAGATTAGACCTCGCCATCGCTGCGGGTCTGCGATCCGTGAAACTGTCGCCACTTTCGAGGGGTGCTGAGGGGCCCAGCACAGTGACGTCTTACGGGGACTTAGATTAGACTTCGCCATCCCTGGGGGGCTGCGATCTGTGAAACTGTCGCCACTTTCGAGGGCTGCTGGGGGGTCCAGCGCACTGACGTCTTACGGGGACTCATATTAGACCTCGCCATCGCTGCGGGGCTGCGATCCGTGAAACTGTCGCCACTTTCGAGGGCTGCCGGGGGGGGCAGCGGAGTGACGTCTTACGGGGACTCAGATTAGACCTCGCCATCCCTGGGGAGCTGCGATCTGTGAAACTGTTGCCGCTTTCGAGGGCTGCTGGGGGGCCCAGCACAGTGACGTCTTACGGGGACTCAGATTCGACCTCGCCATCGCTGCGGGTCTGCGATCCGTGAAACTGTCGCCACTTTCGAGGGCTGCGGGGGGGGGGGGCAGCGGAGCGACGTCTTACGGGGACTCAGATTGGACATCGCCATCCCTGGGGGGCTGCGATCTGTGAAACTGTCGCCACTTTCGAGGCCTGCTGGGGGGCCCAGCGCAGTCTGCACCCGCGGCGGACTCAAATGAGACCTCGCCGTCCCTGGGGGGCTGCGATCTGTGAAACTATCGCCACTTTCGAGGCCTGCTGGCGGGGCCCAGCACAGTCTGCGCCCGCGGCGGGTTCAAATTAGATCTCGCCATCCTTGGGGGGCTGCGATCTGTGAAACTGTCGCCACTTTTGAGGCCTGCCCAGCACCGTCTGCACCCGCGGCGGGTTCAAATTAGACCTCGCCATCCCTGGGGGGCTGCGATCTGCGAAACTGTTGCCACTTTCGAGGCCTGCTGGGGGGCCCAGCACCTTGACGCCACGGGCAGATTCAAATGAGACCTCGCCATCCCTGGGGGGCTGCGATCTGTGAAACTGTCGCCACATTCGAGGCCTGCTGGCGGGGCCCAGCACAGTCTGCACCCGCGGCGGACTCAAATGGGAGCTCGCCATCCCGGGGGGGCTGCGATCTGTGAAACTGTCGCCACTTTTCAGGCTTGCTGGGGGGCCCAGCACAGTCTGCACCCGCGGCGGATTCAAATGGGACCTCGCCATCCCTGGGGGGCTGCGATTTGTGAAACTGTCGCCACTTTCGAGGGCTGCTGGGGGGCCCAGCACAGTGGGTACCCACGGCGGACTCAAATGGGACTTCGCCATCCCAGCAACATCTGCACCCGCGGCGGACTCAAATGGTACCTCGCCATCCCTGGGGGGCTGCGATCTGTGAAACTGTCGCCAATTTCGAGGCTTGCTGGGGGGCCCAGCACAGTCTGCACCCACGGCGGATTCAAATGGGACCTCGCCAGCCCTGGGGGGCTGCGATATGCGAAACTATCACCACTTTCGAGGGCTGTTGGGGGGTCCAGCACAGTGGGTACACACGGCGGACTCAAATTGGACCTCGCCATCCCTGGGGGGCTGCGATCTGTGAAACTGTCACCACTTTCGAGGGCTGCTGGGGGGCCCAGCACAGTGGGTACCCACGGCGGATTCAACTGGGACCTCGCCATCCCTGGGGGGCTGCGATCTGTGAAACTGTCGCCACTTTCGAGGCCTGCTGGGGGGCCCAGCACAGTGGGTACCCACGGCGGACTCAAATGGCACCTCGCCATCCTTGGGGGCTGCGATCTGTGAAACTGTCGCCACTTTCGAGGCCTGCTGGGGGGCCCAGCACAGTGGGTACCCACGGCGGATTCAAATTAGACCTCGCCATCCCTGGGGGGGCTGCGATCTGTGAAACTGTCGCCACTTTCGCGGCCTGCTGGGGGGCCCAGCATAATGATGCCACACGCAGATTCAAATTAGACCTCGCCATCCTTGGGGGGTTGCGATCTGTGAAACTGCCGCCATTTTCGAGGCCTGCTGGCGGGGCCCAGCACAGTGACGCCTCCCAAGTAGTTTACACATCAAGTTGATTGTCCATACAAGTTTCGGCCAACTCCTCGTTTCCATTGATACAAATGGGTTGGGTACGTCACAGGGTAATTATTATTCTCAACCCTCCTTGGTTGGGTATCCGTTTTGAATAGAGCAGTGTGGTCTCCACTCCTTCCTTCCTCCTCCTCCTCCCTCCCTGCCTCTTCCGGTCTTGCCTGCGGGGGGCTGCGATCTGTGAAACTGTCGCCATTTTCGAGGCCTGCTGGGGGGCCCAGCAAAGTGAGGGCCCCGCGCAGATTCAAATTAGACCTCGCCATCCCTGGGGGGGCTGCGATCTGTGAAACTGTCGCCATGTTCGAGGCCTGCTGGGGGGCCCAGCAAAGTGAGGGCCCAGCGCAGATTCAAATTAGACCTCGCCATCCCTGGGGGGGCTGCGACCTGTGAAACTGTCGCCATTTTCGAGGCCTGCTGGGGGGCCCAGCAAAGTGAGGGCCCCGCGCAGATTCAAATTAGACCTCGCCATCCCTGGGGGGGTTGCGATCTGTGAAACTGCCGCCATTTTCGAGGCCTGCTGGGGGGCCCAGCACAGTGAGGGCGACGCGCAGATTCAACTGGGACCTCGCCATCCCTGGGGGGGCTGCGATCTGTGAAACTGTCGCCATTTTCGAGGCCTGCTGGGGGGCCCAGCAAAGTGAGGGCCCCGCGCAGATTCAAATTAGACCTCGCCATCCCTGGGGGGGCTGCGATTTGTGAAACTGTCGCCACTTTCGAGGCCTGCTGGGGGGCCCAGCGCAGTGAGGGCGACGGGCGGACCCAAATGGCACCTCGCCATCCTTGGGGGGCTGCGATCTGTGAAACTGTCGCCACTTTCGAGGCCTGCTGGGGGGCCCAGCACAGTGAGGGCCCCGCGCAGATTCAAATTAGACCTCGCCATCCCCGGGGGGGTGCGGTCTGTGAAACTGTCGCCACTTTCGAGGCCTGCTGGGGGGCCCAGCACCTTGACGCCACGGGCAGATTCAAATGAGACCTCGCCATCCCTGGGGGGCTGCGATCTGTAAAACTGTCGCCATTTTCGAGGCCTGCTGGGGGGCCCAGCACAGTGAGGGCCACGCGCGGATTCAAATTAGACCTCGCCATCCCTGGGGGGGCTGCGATCTGTGAAACTGTCGCAATTTTCGAGGCCTGCTGGGGGGCCCTGCACAGTTACGCCACGGGCATATTCAAACGAGACCTCGCCATCCCTTGGGGGCTGCGATCTGTGAAACTGTCGCCACTTTCGAGGCCTGCTGGGGGGCCCAGCGCAGTGACGCCACGGGCAGATTCAAATGAGACCTCGCCTTCCCCTGGGGGGCAGCGATCTGTGAAACTGTCGCCACTTTCGAGGTCTGCTGGGGGGCCCAGCACAGTGACGCCACGCGCAGATTCAAATTAGACCTCGCCATCCCTGCGGGGTTGCGATCTGTGAAACTGTCGCCACTTTCGAGGCCTGCTGTGATCCCCGTTTTCGTAGTGGTTAGGAGTGCTCAGGAATTGTAACTCATCAGCTTTATCAAGCCCTTTTCCTGTAGCCGGTGTCCTGCGAGTCTCCCGAATTCCGTCTGCAGACATATGTAACCCT